GGGATGTAGAGGAAAGGGAGTTGGGATCCCAGATGACAGAGGGGAAATGAAGGCCCTAAGGCACAGAAGACAGGTGTGGGCCCCACTGAGGAAGTGCACGTGAGGCCCAGGGAACTGGGCCCGGACACTGAAGCCTTGGAGACCTGCCAAGGCTGGGAGAAAGTGGGGCAGAGGTGGCTGCTCCACCAGCCACCATGAGTGTTTCCAATCCTGCCCCTCCCCACTGGTGGCCTCCAGGGCTTTCAGCCCAGTGACAGCACCACCTTCCAGGACCCCAGAGGTCACAGCCCAGACCACACTGTCCAGGCAGCCACGGTAGACATCGTCCTCCGTGGAACTCCTCCTCCTGGAAGCACCCAACACCCTCGCTGTGGTTTAGAAAAGACACAGGACGTTTTTTAAAAAACCTCCATGGAAAATTCAGGCCACCTCACTCAGGTCAGTATCTGGTGATGCCAGCCTCTTCTGCCATCTTTGGAACCTGAACAGCCAGCCCCCTGCTCAGAAACCAGAATGACTTGTTTTCAAATCCTGTCCATCCCTGACTGGCCACACTGCCTTGAATATCTACCTCCTGGGCTCCGCTTCCTCATCTGTAAAGTGGAGGGGAAGACCCAGGACTGACCAACCTTGCACTGTTGTAATAAGGTATGCTGAGGCAGGTGACTATTGATCGATGGGAAAAGTGACAGAATGATAATCACCTCCTATTCCCCAAATGATTTTCACATCTGAACTTGTCCTAGATGCCAGCGCCCTGGCACGCCCTAGTCCTCACACCTCAGTCCTAAACAGATGGGTCAGGATCACTAACCCATCCTCTGATACAGCAAACTCTACCAGGAGATGCTGTTAACCATCTGTAGTTAGGATGGTGGTGGAAGACATTCCCCCATTCCCAATGGAAGTATGCCCCACTCCCAGGTGTGCTCAGCCAAAGAAAAGGGACCCAGGTTTAATAGGGCAGTGAGAACCCATCCAACAACAAATGAATGGACAAGGCCCAGTCAAGGCTGCAGCCTGAAGGGCAGCAGGAGATTTGCAGGGAAGGCACTCATAGGCACACTTCATTCATTTAGGTCTCCTGAGATTAGAACTACTATTGTCCCATTTTACAGATGAACACACTGAGCCTCAGAGTATTCACTAACTCACCCTTGGAGATGGGATTCTGAACCATGTCCTTCCCACACTGCCTGCCATGAGGAGGAACAAGAGTCTCAAAGACCTTCCAGGAAACTGCAGGCTACTCGCACCATGGTTAGAGAAACATTCAAAAATCTGAAATGATGAGGGTGTGGTGAGGATCCTGGGGAACCATAAGAAGTCGGTCTTGGATGGGGTCTGTGGTCATCTTGTTTCTTCTACCAGCTGTGTCTCCCAAGACAGCTACACTCAGCAGACACTCCGTTTCCTTCCGCTCTCCTGCCCGCCCGCCCACTTGGCCTCCTTCCTCCCTGGTATCACAGGCACAACCACTCCTGAGGAGGCTCTAAATGTGGCCTGGGCAGCAGAGAGGCCAAAGGGAGGGGGCCGAGAGGCCTGGGCTGGCATCCCAGCCCCCCCAGGACAGTTGCAGGGCCCGGGCCCAGGACACTGACCTGCTTGGACTTCCCAGCACTTCTCTTGTTTTGACGTGCAGAGTCAGATCCCAGGAGTAGTCACAGAAGTGGGGGTTCTCCTTGAGAAATTTGTATATTTTGTTTAAAAAAGCAAGCAAACCTGGAAAAGCTTGGGACCAGCCCAGCTAATTTTAGTTTCTAATGAAAACAGCAGGTGGCCGAGAGGATCTGATCTCCCTGGCAGGGCCAGGGCCCTCCAGCCTTGCAGACTGCAGGCACGGACGTGCGGGGAGGGCCTCTTGGAAGGAGTCTGAAGTACCTGCAGCCTCCACTTGAGACCAGGGTGCGAGCGAGTGGGCTGGCTACACGGCAGGGGCAGCCTGGGCTGGCAGGGTAAACTGATCAATGGCACAGCCATGACTGGAGTCCTGGATGATCAGGACAGCAGATGGCATTAAGTCTGTACTCAGCAGCACCAGGAAGAAGCCTAAAGTGGGGCAGTGCAAGCAACCAACAGAGGAAAAGATGAAGTGATGGCCAGGGCCCCTACAGGACCCGAACAGCAGCAGTGCCGTCCAGCAGGCCCTGGCTTCATAGGCCCCAGAAATGGCCTTTCAGTCTGTATCTGAGCCAGCCCAGCTCCAGGGGTAGCGAGTGCCATGCATATCTTGGAGGGAAAGGTTGAGCCACCACGGAGGGGGTGGGGCTCCGCAGCCCTCAGGAGCAGTTGTGGTCAGCCCTCAGCAGCCCCGGCTTCTTTCCTTATCCCTGTTCTTCCTTGCCAATAGGTAAGCAGAGGGGACTCATCAGGACAAAGCCACGAGCCATTTGTTTTTTGGGTTTTTTGTACTGGGAAGTTGAACTCTGGGCCTTCATACTAGTCTTTACTAATCCTTTTTTAGTGTTTAGTTTGAGACAGGGTCTTGCTAAGTTGCCCGGGCAGGACTCAAACTTGCAATCCTCCTGCCTCAGCCTCCCAAGGGCTTCGAGTACAGATGTGCACCACTGTGCCCACCTTCAAGCATTTACTGAATATCTTTTATGCACTGTAACCTGCTTGAGGCCTGACATGTTGCACAGTAGAATGCCAGCTCCTCAACTATCTAGCAGGGCAGATCCACAACCAGGTATAGAGGAAAGAGGTTGAGGCAAAGCTGCTTGCTGTTCACGAGGGACTCTGCAACTCCTCAAGGGACTTTGTTTCACCTCTGTTGGCTTTGGTCTGCTTGTCTATAAACTAATGTCAGGTACCAGTCAGATTACAGGACAAGCCAACGGAACCCTGCAGCCAAGGCCCATGATGCCGGGGATGCCGACTCTCAGCCTGTGCTCCAGCTCCAACACCCAGCCCACCCTGCACCTAGACAAACCCCTAAGATCAGAAGGAAGGGGAGCCTCCCAGACACAGAAGGGGCAGATGTTGTACCAGATGAAGGTGGGGCTGGCTGGCTGACACTGGTGCTGCTTCCTGGGCACTGTCCCAGTGACTCACAGCCATGGCAGCCTAGCTCCTGTCCTCTGCTGCTGTCAGTTCAGCCAGCTTCCCCACTGTTCTCCAGCCTAGGAGAAGCACATGTACATTTGGCCCTCCTCTCCCTGGGTTCAATGCTAACATCTCCATCTGCTAGCCTGGCATGGGACCAAAAGGCCTTGAAGGCCTGGACACTGCCTGTATCTCCCAGTAAGAGGACCACAGATTCCAACAGCAGGACAGGCCATATAGACTCACCTATTTATTATACCCATGAGAAACAGGTTCCCGGTGAGGAGAGGGCATGCCCTGCATCACAGGGGGCTAGGGGCCAGCCTCCCTAGCCTGCACCCCCTCCCAAAGATCCCCCACCCATGAATGCCACCTTTCACCAGAGGCCAGGGCTCTGCACAGCCAGACCTAGCCTTCTTGGCTGGACATAGAGGGCTAGTTGGGGATGTGCCACTTCTGTGCCCCCACATCACAGAGTGAATAAAAACCCCAACCCTGTCCCAAAAGTCCAACCCGGGCGAGAGCAGGAAAAGATCCAGTGTTAGACTTAACTCCTGTCTTCCCTCTAAAGGACACCTATGGCCTCCTAAACATGGACCTGGCCCACCGCCAGTAGCTGAGCTCTTGGTGCCCCCTGCAGGCCAAGAATAACATGTGGGACTGGTTCTATAGGAGACCCCTTCCCTAGCTGCTGAAGTAGGGGGCAGCTATCGGGAGCCAAGAAGCCTGTCACCCCACCACAGTCAGATGCACCCTCCTCCTGCCTTGCCTTCCACTCTCTCCCCGCTCCCCAGCTAGGTCACTACCAGTCTCTGGGCAGGACCTGGTAGACAGAAAATGGGGAACTAGAGAGGACCTTAGAAGATCAGGAATGCAGGGAGGCAAGAAGCTAAGCCCCCTTGCCCTGAGACCACCTCCCTCCCACTCAACCACTTGCTGCCAGAGAAGGGAGAGGCTATCACAATTACCAGACTCCTCGCATGTGTCACTTGAGCGCAGACATGCTACCACACCCAATCATGTTCATTCCTCACAGCAGCCCTCTGGGATCAGAACTATGACTGCATTTCATATATGGAAAGTCAGATTGGACCCCACAGCCAGGGGCAAAGGAGACTTGTCCAGGAACTGATACCACAGTGAGGAGGACAGCAGTGTTGGGTTCAGAAGGAAACAAAAAACAAAAAACGCCGGAGCTTCTCAAGACTGCTCTCGAGGACAGCGGCTTCCCAGTTGAGCCTAGGGTTGGGTCCAAACTCAGATGTACACCAAGCTCCAGCTAAAATGAGCCCAGGCACCTACATTTTTCCACCAACCCCCACAGATGTTTCTGATGCACAGCCAGATCCTAGAATCATCACTCTGCTCCAGCCATGTGCCTGATGAACAGAACCTGGCTGCTGCCTGAGCACCTCCAAGGGTAGGCAAGTGGCTGATGGCACCTTGGCTGATCCCTCTGGCTGAGGGAACCCAGTCCTGGAGGCCTCTGTGTCAGTTGTAGTCCTGAGTCACATAGAAGAAAATTGTCACAAGGCCGTGAAGTCAGAAAATCAGGTTCTTATCCACTCTACCTCTCATTGGCTACATAACCTTGCACATAAGGCAAATTAATGTCTGTGGCATTTTATTCTTTTTAAAAAGGGAGTTCATAGGCTTGCTGAGAGGATTTAAACAGTGATGCACTTAGCCCAGTCCTGATTAGGTTTTATAAAAAGAACTTAAGCTACCCTTATTACCATGTATTGTCCATATTTTAATAGATCTATGTACTTTTTCACTTTGTGGGTCTCCATTCATCTGTTCCGTCCTTCAGTGGTGAGTTCCCACCTCTGAGATCCCAGCCCCTGAGGCAGGCAGGAACCGTGGCAGGGACAAGCAATACCCAGAGCCCCAGTGTGGAAAGAGGAGGGTGACGCACTGGGCTGGATCTGCATGACTTCCACCCCTGTCCTCAGGTACCTGGCCAAGCTGTCCTCAGTGGGGAGCATCTCGGAGGAGGAGACATGTGAGAAGCTCAAGGGCCTGATCCAGAGGCAGGTACAGATGTGCAAGAGGAACCTGGAAGTGATGGACTCAGTGCGCCGCGGCGCCCAGCTGGCCATCGAGGAGTGCCAGTACCAGTTTCGGAACCGGCGCTGGAACTGCTCCACACTCGATTCCCTGCCTGTCTTTGGCAAGGTGGTGACACAAGGTGAGGGGGTGTACAAGGGCTGCAGGACACTGGGGTATGGGTCCTGGCCAGGGAAGGACACCCTCGTGAATGGCCAGAGTGGTCCATGTCTGAAGCCAAAACAACACTGGACCGAAGTAAAGGAATGAAGAAGGTGGCAAGGGCACGGGAAAGGTTGGTCAGGTGGGCGTGACTCCCGGACGGGCCATCCAGGAACGCCCTGCTGCCTCGAGTGTGCTGTGGTTCCAGTGCCTGTCTCAGAGGCATGTTAGCAGGAACTACACTTGTTTTACAGAAGAAAAAACTGGGGTTCAGGCAGGGGATAAGACTGAGCTTCCTGGGGTTCCTCAGAGCAGGGGAGAACATATTCAGCTTTAGACCTGGGCTTTCAACCCTGAGCTAGCCTTAGATACCTGAGCCCATTTCACTGATTTATACATCTGACACACCATGAGGAACACCTTCAGGATGGCTAGCCCTAAGACACAGCTCCTGTCCTCTTGGGCACATAGGCTGGTGGGGGGACAGGCAAGTTAGCAACCATGGTACAAGAGGAATAGTGGCTTACACCCCTGTGGCACCCACAATGGACCAGACATGGCGAAAGTGTTGAAAGTAATAAACTCATCAGCTCTTTTGAGACTCTCATGGGCTTCCACACTGCACATGAAGAAGATGAGGCACACAGAGGTTAAGTCATTTGCTCAAGATCACAGAACTAGAAAGGCTCAGAGTCAGGACTTAAAGCCAGGCATCCTGCTGCAGGGCCTGCACTCTCCATACTCATGACACACAGGACAGGAAGTTGAACACCTTCCCTGGCTAGGGCTATTCAGAGCAGGTTTTCCCCAGGAGGTAGGGCCTCCATTGAGACCAGAAATGTGAGGGGTCACTAAGCCAAAGAGAGGGACCAGGGTGCAGAGAAGTGTCTTATCAAACTGGGAGGCTCCTTGAGAGACCAAACCCCACTTCAAGGAAGTGCCCCCACAATTGCTGAGCATGAGACATACTTCACAGCAACCTATAGTCAGCAGGGCCCTTTGACTTCCTCAGGCTGCAGGAACTGAGTGCTCGGGCCAACCCTAGTCTTGGCACCTGAGGGCCTGGATAGTCAGGGCTGCTGGGCTCTGTGGCAAATGGGTTGGATGTTGCTGGAAACAACAACACAGAATTTTGTTTGTTGATAGAAGTTTGGAAGCCATTCTCCTGGGAGCTGACAGAGGCCAAAAAGGGCATGATCATGCTTAGCACTACTGAACATTTTTTGCTCTCAAAAAGCAGCAAAGACCCAGTGAGCAGCATGACAGCAGAGAATCTCCCAGGATGAGGGTACCATTATTCAGGACTCAGGGCAATAATGCCAGACTGGGGAGGCCAGGAGCCAGTCTAGGATAGACTAGACCTTGACTTTAGGAGCTCCCACGCCACTGTGAGTATTCCAGGGGTGTGTTTTGGACAGATTGGTGGATATACCAGGCCTGTCACACCACTTCTCGACCAGTTCTCTCTGGGCTGTTCCCTCTGTGCTGTACAGCTCATTGTTTATATTTGGGGGTGAGAGGGGGCTGTCCTCTTTCTTGTAATTTTCTAAATACCATTTCAAACTTACAGAGAAGTTGCAAAAACAGAATAAGGAATTCCTATGTATGTTATTAGCTTTATCAACTGTTTACATTTAACCCGTTTGACTATCATATATACATACATATGTATCTGCACATACATATTTTTGTCTCAAATACCTGTGTTTATACTGCTTCGATGCACTTTTCACAGTGAAGACTGACATCTCCCTGCCCAACTCCCACTCTTCCATCACACAGTCCTCAGGTCATTCCGGGTGAGGCTGACAGCTCAGTTACCTGTTTCTTGGCACATGGCCATGCCTGGCATGGACAGTGAGTGGATGTCGTCTGATAATGGAACGCAGATTGGTAGCAAAGACTTGAAGGGACAAAGGTGAGGCATGTGTCAGTGCTGGCTAGAAGCCAACAGAGGTCCTTAGGACCCTATCAGGAGTGCCCTCCTCACCTATGGGCAGAACTCTTGAAGGGACTTAGCTCTCGTCAGCTAGTTCTGCGAACACAAGAACACTACCAGGCCTGTAGAAGATGCTCTGACTAAAACTTGACTAAGTGACTGGTCCCCTTGGAGCTGACACTGGCCATAGCAAACAGACACCAGTCACATTTGGGAGAGAAGTCTGAGCTCTTCCACTCACCAAAAATCTCCTTGTTGTATCTTTGGTTTTCTCCCATAGAAAAATTCTTGAGACCTTAAATGGTCCGGACTGAGCATAAAGAAAAGGGATTTGTCCATCCCCAGACTGAGAGCAAAGCTAAGCCAGGGACTGTTGATGAGACAGCATGGACAAGCAAACCTCGAGCAGGTGACTTCACTTCTGAGCCTCAGGGCCTGCACCTGTCACATGCTTACCTCACAGGGCTGTCACCAAGGTTAAGTGTCACAATGCATGGGAAGTTCCTTATCTATGCCCTATGCCGATCCAAGAAGAACCACCTGATCTGACCAGTGACTGTCATCTCAGCAACCACCAGTCTGGGCAGACCTCTTGTCCTGTTACTCTCAGGAGGGAAGGTCCCGGCAGGTGGCAGCACACAAACATTGTAGCTGTGATCATGGCCTCAGGCACAGAAGAGGCAGAGCTAACATTCCCTCCTGGATAAAAAGAGCCATCCCCATTTGTTGAGGATCATTCTTGTGACAGTTCTGAGCTTGCAAGCAATGTGATTCCCGTGTCCCAGCTGAGAAGGGATGCTCAGGGAACAGGAGGAGGTACTGTGCCCAGGCCCTGGACCTGCCAGCTCTTTGCCATGAGATCTTGGGCAAAGTCTAGACCTTCTACAAACCTCAGTATCCTCCTTCCTATAAAATGAAGACATGCTAGGCATGATGGCACACACCTGTAATGCCAGCACTCAGGAGGCTAAAGCAGGAAGATCACTGCAAGTTCAAAGCTAGCCTGGACCACAAAAAAATGCAAGGCCAGCCTGAACTACATAGTGAAACCCTGTCTAAAAAAGACATTAATAATAAGAGTAAATAAAATGATGACAAGCCCAGACCAGCCTCCTAGGACCCCATGAGGATTCAGAGATGACACTTCTCAAGGGCTGCAAGACTCCCTCAGTGCTGGGGGTGGGAGGTGCTATTACCAGCACTGCCTAAAGTCTCACAGCTCCCAAACCCACCAAGCAGTGGAGGCCACTCTGGGCTCCTGGCCTACAGAGAGAGGACAGATGGGGAAAGAGTGGTAAACATTTAGGCCAGTATGTAATTTAGGGCCTATATGCTCTAGGCTAAAAAAAAACTACCAGCAACTTGATAAAGATGGTGTTCATGGCAGCCAGGAAAGCGGGAACATAGCAATTCATGGCTCAGCAGACTATGAGGGATGTCCCCTGTCTTATTCAGCACCTACACACGATGCATATCAGTAAGCACTTGTTGCATGAATGGAAAGGTCTGAGGGAGACAATGGAACTTGGCTGTACTGGGTCTCAAGGTGGGCCAGCCTGAGCAAGGTGGGAAGATAGAAAAGGTGACCCCGCTCAAGCTTTTCTCCATCTGTAGACAATGCCACGCCGCCTCCCACCTCTATCACCTTATAGTGACCTTGATCAAGTTCCAGGACTCAAAGAGCCCCGAGGCCTCTGCAGGCTGACTGCCATGTGTAGGAGGCATGTGGAATACTGGGGCAAAGTGAGGTTCAAATCCAGGCCTGTGTGTCTGTCCCATCTACACAACCTTCCTGGCCATCTCAGCAAGCTGGACTTATATAAATGCTCCTCAGTTCTAGGTGGAGCCTTACAAAAACCTGTGTTCTCTTGCTTTGATCCTTATTACTAGTATTATGTTAGACCAGTGAAGTGGGGAACACTCTTTCCTTCCCAGAGACCTCTCTGGCTAGCCATCAGATACATTTCAGTGCCATCAGATACATTTTAGCTCTTAGGAAGACATACTCCAAAGACACTCCTGAGAGATCCTGCAGGCTGCAGAAGCCACACGAACATGAAACAAGTAAAAAATAAAACCATCCAGCTGGGCATGGTTGTACACGCCTGCAATCCCAGCACTGAGGAGGCTGAGGCAGGAGAATTGGCTCAGGAGTTCAAGACTAGCCTAGGCCAGAAAAGTGAGTTCAAGGCCAGCCATCCCTGTCTCAAAAAAAGACACCCCCCCCATCAAAAAAAAATAATGGTCTGATTGTGATGACATAGGGCAGGCTGGCCAGCTAGACACCTGGGAGCTCCATGAAAACCACAACATTGGGACAGGATACAGGGGACATGAGGGCTTGGCCTGCTGAGGTCCCATGTTACAGCTGGGGAGTCCCCTTTAGAGATAAAGGTCACATCACAAATGAGTGATGGCTTTGTCTGGCCCCAGACTTTGCTCTTTACCCCATCCTACATTATCTCTTAAATTCAGATGCTTCCTCACAATGGTTTTTCTCACAGACCACAGCCTGTCTCTCACCTCTTCCCTTGGAATCCCACTGCCCAGGACATCAACTCAGCCTCAGCTGGTTCTCCTGCAAATGATCTTCCTTCCAGCATCTGGACAGACACTGATGTGCTCCACAGAGCCAAGTCTTGAATCAGATGGGTCTCAGTTCTAGTTCTCACTCAGCCATTTGCTGCCGAGGAACCCAGGCAAGCCACTGGGCTGCACATTTTCTTCAGAGCAGGGCTGGAGAGTGCTGATTGCTAAGGTTGTCATGGGCCCTAGCCAGCATGTGGAAAGAACCTGGCACGCAATCCCTCCCACAGAAAGAACAACTGCTATTAGATCTCCAGGATTCTTCTGGATCCCCAGCCCCAGGCGGCCTGTCCCTTGGAAGAGGTGACATTAAGACCGGATCCAGGGGGCTTAGTTCTGGTGTCATGGGACAGAGGGATCACAGTAGAAAGAAGCTGGATGTAAGAATAACTGTTGTAAAAGAAAGGAGGCTGTAGGTAGGAGCTGGCACCTGAGAATTCTGCCTTACTCAGACCTAGGAGAGGACAAAGATGTGTACCACCTGCAGCAGCAACTGACATAGCGCCTGCTACTTCACTGGGGAACCTCCACTCCTGCATTCCTGTACCCTAATGTCTTTTCTAGGTCTGAGCAGCCTCTGGGGAAAGCAAGCCCTGTTAGGTCTTCCACTACCACACAGGGCTCCAGCCTGGTCCTTTGGGCAGAGGTGAAGAGATGCAAGAGGCCACAGCACTGGAGTTGAAGGCTGGAGGAACTATGCCATAGGCTTCAGGGGCACAGCAGCAAACCCACACCTTCCAGGCCAACTGCCCAGCACACCCTGGTAGAAACTCCATGAGAGAACTGGGCTTACTCTACAACATGGGATTTAGGGCAGACCTAAGGAGACTCCCTTGGCTTCATACACAGAAGGTGCGAGGAGACAGAGTGCATATGCATTCCCAGAACCCAAGGCCTCTGTGGGGCTCAACAACGTCAAGGTGAAATCTCTGGAGCCACGCTGCCATGCGTTCAAGTTCTAGCTTCACACCTCCTGGCTGGATATTGTTGGACAAGGCACTACTCAGTGCCTGTTTCTTCATCTGTGAAAGGGAGGTCAAATGAATCTGCTTTCTAGAGTTATCATAAAGAGTATGTAAAGGAATATAGGTGAAGTACTTAGTACACACAGTAAGTTCTCCATGCCCTTTAGCTTTCATTATTATCTTCCCGCCAGAGTTTCTCCCCTCAGGGCTACTAGGATATGGTATCCTTGTTCCCCTGAGGCCAGGGAAAAGGGAACTGGAGTCCCAGCCAACGGATGCTGTTCAGAGAATAAGGAACCCATCTCCCTGCACCACCTCACAGGGAGACCTGCAACCTAAAGACTGCTAACACTGAGGAACAGAGGGCAGCCCAGAGCTGGGGTTGGGCCAGGAGTCGCCTAAGAGCCCAAAGAATTAGAGGAGGAAGGCCCACAAGAGGCCAAGGCTGAAGTTCCATCATCCCCATCTCCTACTCTGATCTCCTTTCTCCTTTGGGCTTTGGGGCAAAGATTTGTGCTGGTTCAGGCCTGGAAATACCAGAAATACCAAAAACTGAAGTCGTCCCTCTTTGGGCGGCCACAGCATAAAACCAACCAACATGATCCTGCTATTAACCTCAATTAACTTGGAGAAGATTCCATCGTAGGCTGTCAAGGCTCCATTGCTCCAGCCAAGGCCCCCTAATGCTGGCCTAAAATGCCGAAGCCAGGGCAGAGAGTGAGCAGTGGAGAGATTGGTACTAGTACCTCCAGCTCTAGGGCTACACCAAGAACAGGCCGTCCTGAGTGGTCAGGGCTGAAATGCCTCCCACCCAAGCGCTCAGCTTCTTCTGCCTTCTGTGTACAGACACAGGGACACAGGAGGTGATTGTTTCTCTGACCACGGTGACTGCTTCCTGAGGCAGCTGGGAGTACAGACCTGGGTGTCATAGTGGTAATTGCCAACCACAGGGCCAAAGCTTGCCCTGCCACTCTTGTGGACACAGACCCTCTGGCCTGAGACAGAAGGATAGTCACCAGCACACAGAGGCCTTCACAAGGCCTACAAGAGCCCAGCCTACTGTTTGGTCGTATACCCAACCAGCTGAGTGCAGGACTCTGCTCACATACTACCCCACCTCCCCCCAGAAGGAGCAGCTACACCCCAGGCACAGCTCCTAGGATAAGAACATCCATTCAGGCAGGGAGGAGGGCCGGCACCAAAATAGAACTGCAGAGCAGTCACGAGTAGAGGAGAGGCAGGCAGACCTTACTGCAGTCCTGGTTTTGCAGCCTCCTGGCTGTTTGACCAGGTTTTCTTCCATCCCTCAGTGAGATGGGTGCAGACATCAGTGATGAGATTAAGTACCTGAGCTATTAGTATAATGGTTTAAAGTCCTAAGAAGGCAAGACATATTCAGTAATGGCCCCTCAGAGAAAGGTCATGGAGGCACTCCTCAAAGCCCAAGGAACCAGCTAGGAAAAAGGCATAAAAAGTAACCAGACCTGGGGTCACAGTCCAGGTCTACAGTTGCATAGCTCTGTAACATTGGTAAATCAGCTTGCCTCACCGAACTGCTTGCTCTTCAATAAAATGCCATGACCATAACTTGTCTTCTAGAGCTTCTAGAGAAGAAAATCATGGGAACTGAGAGCACAGGTTCAGAGGCCAGGTTACCTGCTGGCTCGCCACATGCTCCATACAAAACACCTCACCTCTCTCAAATGGGATGACAGGACTTGCCTGGTGAGAATGCTGGGAGGATGAGCTGATCCACACAAATGGAGTGGGCAAAGCTCAGGGCACAGTGAAATGCGCTCCTCTCTGTGCCTGGCTCACACCTTGTTTGCCTCCAACATTCAGCAGGCCCCTTGTGCCCCTATCCACAAAGGACCCAGTCCTACTTCTCTCTGCCTCCCACAGGGACTCGGGAGGCGGCCTTCGTATACGCCATCTCTTCAGCAGGCGTGGCCTTTGCAGTAACACGGGCATGCAGCAGTGGGGAGTTGGAAAAATGTGGCTGTGACCGGACAGTACACGGGGTCAGCCCTCAGGGTAAGAGCAAGAGTGGTCAGTGGGGAGGGCTGGGGCCTGGGGCCCTGGCCCACTCTCACTGTGGCCCTCTCTTTGCTCTCTGCACCTCAGGCTTCCAGTGGTCAGGATGTTCGGATAATATCGCCTATGGCGTAGCCTTCTCACAGTCTTTTGTGGACGTGCGGGAGAGAAGCAAGGGAGCCTCGTCTAGCCGGGCCCTCATGAACCTCCACAACAACGAGGCTGGAAGGAAGGTAGTGTGCACCACCCCTCAGCCCTCAGCACCAAAGTATGAGCAGCAGGCAGGGTCCCTTAAGCACTCCCTCCCACATCACCCTCTGGAAGTGGTATTTGGTCCCTTACCAGCACCACACAACTCCCTAGGTCAGAGAAGTATGGAACAAGGCAGGGTGGGGTGCAGGGATAACATGGTCCCATCTATACATGTATGTGTACATGTGTGTGCACAGTCCCCTGTAACACACACACTGCAAACAAGCAGCAGAGCTGCGATGTGACTATCAAGCACAGGTCATGTGCTTTACTGTGACACCTTCTGCCTTCTCAGTGCCTACTCCTGAGGCTCCTGTGAAGATTAAGGGCAGAGGATCTCTCCCCATCACAGCACCTGTCACTCACGGTTACATATAACACTGCCCCTTAGTGGCAGTCCTCTAAATGCCCAAATGCCAGAACAGCTTCTTGTTCATCTATCCCCAGCTTGCTTACCAGCCCAGCAGAGCATAGAGTAAAAACTTAATACAGAGAATGCATGACAGTGAACCCTTTTGACTGTAGCATGAGCCCCTAGGGACCCCAATTCTGGTGTCCCCTCAACCCAGGAGCCCCTCTGCAGCTTCCATTGATGGCAGCTCTCCCCACCCTCCCCACAGGCTATCCTGTCCCACATGCGGGTGGAGTGCAAGTGCCATGGGGTGTCAGGCTCCTGTGAGGTAAAGACGTGCTGGCGAGCTGTGCCGCCCTTCCGCCAGGTGGGCCACGCACTGAAGGAGAAATTCGACGGTGCCACTGAGGTGGAGCCACGCCGTGTGGGCTCCTCCAGGGCACTAGTGCCACGCAATGCACAGTTCAAGCCGCATACGGACGAGGACTTGGTATACTTGGAGCCCAGCCCAGATTTCTGTGAGCAGGACATACGCAGCGGTGTGCTGGGCACGAGGGGCCGCACATGCAACAAGACATCCAAGGCCATCGATGGCTGTGAGCTGCTGTGCTGTGGCCGCGGCTTCCACACGGCTCAGGTAGAACTGGCTGAACGCTGCAGCTGCAAATTCCACTGGTGCTGCTTCGTCAAGTGCCGGCAATGCCAGCGGCTTGTAGAGTTGCACACGTGCCGGTGACTGCACACGGCCTGTGCCAGCAACCAACTAAGTGGCCCAGGGAAGGCCAGTAATTTAAACAGTCTCCCACCACCTACCCCCAAGAGATACTGGTTGTATTTTTTGTTTTGGTTTGGTTTTTGGGTCCTCATGTTATTTATTGCCCAAACCAGGCAGGCAACCCCAAGGGTACCAACTGGGGCTTCCCCAAAGCTTGAGCCTTTGTGGCTGCCACTGACCAAAGGGCCTTTGCTCATGCCTCTGGCTGTTCACAGATGATCATAGCTGACCACTCATTTGTTATCTGTGTTCATTTTTCTACTTTCAGACATAATGTGGGTAACAAGGAACATTAAAGCCACAGGGCTACTGATGCTGCCATCTAGGAAAACAGGTAATCTTGTGGCAGGGAAAGTAAGTACAATCTTGATGGAAATCACACTGCCTAGAAAGAAAGCGCACACCCTTCACCCCACACATACACAGGGTCACATGGCAACTTGAACCTATAGCCTTGTCTCCCAAACTCCTGGAAAGAAAATGGGCAAAGGGTTCATTTCAGCCCTCACATGGGCAGCTGGATGTTTGACCTCTGTGAGGCCTTCCAAGCAGAAGTTCAGGTGAAGTTCTGACAAGAGGCTATACTACAGTCCTGTCTTGGACCCCATCCTTCTCCAGCCGGGCCCCTCTGGAGGAGAAACTGCTACCCCTGGACCCTCTTGGGCAGGAGGTTTAGGATGCCATCCTGGATCGGAGTCCATGCTTTTGTTGTCAGGCCCCTGTGTGTGTCACCCCACATCCCCCCAGGACTGTCCTTATAGAAAGTGAAAATGGAAATCTTGAAATCTCACACATACCACAGGACAAGGCCATGCAATGAAAATACTCCCCATCATATCACTGAACAAAATTTATCAGCAAATACTGAGTCCCAGGCCCTGCACTGAGGCATTTGCTGGCCCTTCTGCTACTCCTTCTTGACTCCTATATCCAAAAGCACAGACACTGCAGGTCTCCTTGGGTCTGATCTGTGGGAATGGGGCTCTGGCTGGAAGAAAAAGGACAGGGAAAAAGCAAGAGCCAGAGACCACAGGCTGGGCTGGAGCCCATGTGGTGGCTGAGAACAGCAGGCTCTGTGGCAGAGCTGGATGGCTGGAAGGCTGACTAGTAAGTCTCAGCAACTGAGATACTGCATCTCCAGGACCTCCAGGTACCTTGTGGTACTACGGAAGATGCCCCAAGAGATAGTACTAGCAGTCCAGGCCTGATTCTACAAAGCAACCAAAATAAGTACCCACCCAGACTTCCCTAAGACAAGCAAAGATTCAGCTGCTATTCTACTGGGTTGCCAACTACCAGAAGAACTGCTAGCTTGGTCTCTATGCTGCCCCACAGTGGGGCTCTAGGCTCCAGGTCTGAAGGTTTGAGCTCTAGGGTACTTGCCATTTGGTCTAACCTCTTGGATCCTGGGTTCAGTATCAGAAATGCGAAGTCCCAGATTCTACACAGGGGCTCAGGCCTGCAGAAACTGTCCTCCAGGCCCTGTGGTTTAATGCCTTCTGGTGTTGGCTCTATCATGAAGAGGGTCAACACCCTTGGCCCTCAGCCAAGCTCTCTGCTCAGTGTCCGTCCAAAGAGGAATCCAAAACCAAGCAAGATGCTGCAGCCACATTCAAATGTAAGGATAATCTTGGGACAGGCTGGCTCTGACGTGGATGAAAGCTGAGCTGACCAAGGGTCCCCACAGGTGCCCAGCTGGGCCTGTTACTCCTCTCATGGACTTAGTTCAGCTGTCTGCTCCATGCCAGGGAAAACACTATCCCCTCATTGACACAAACCCAGACAAGTGACCAGTGGAGACAACCCCCATCCCGAGGCAGAATTGAGCCACTCTCCCCTACCTGAGGGAGCAATCCAAGCTGCTTGCTGCTTTGATGGGCGCTGCCCTAAGAAACAGGAAGAAGGTATGTGCCTGATAACAGGCTTCACATTCCCACCTGCCAGGGAACTCCTCAAAGCAAATCAATCCTCTTGGGATTCTGAAGGTTGTGGGGCCAAGGTCAAACAGACCATATTCTAGGAACCAATACCATGGCCTACTGGTATAGCCAGTACTGCCAAGGTCAGTAGAATCCACAGCCACAAGAAAAGCTACATGCTCAGCTGCAAACTGTCCTAAATAAAAAATAAAGTAATAATAAAAAAGAACTGGTAAAGGTATGACATAACACATCCTCTCTTGACTGCACACAGATCTGGAAACTGACCAGAACTGCTCCCCAGTATTCCTGTCCCAAAGCAAAAATGAGGTCCTCTAAGGCCTAGGGCTGAATAAACCCCAGCTCTGGATGCTGCTACCCCTTCTACTGCCCACCCTATCCTCTAATTTTTATACTAGGCTTCTTGCCATTGTGACATCCCTATGATACAGACTGATGCACGATAAAATTATTATTTCTTTATCTGCCAATTGTGATAATGAATTTTCTTTTAAACAACAGATTAGGAAGACAGACGTGGGGAAGGACATGGGAAAAGCAAGTAAACACCAAATGCTAGATATTAGAACCCCTCTTTTGCCTCTGATTCTTTTTAATAGCAGGCTTAAGGCCCACTGCTGTCTGAAAGTCCATTAACATAGTGGTTCTATCCCCATTCCACTGAACCATGGCCAGCTACTTAAACCTTAGCCTGAATAAGATGATCAGATCTAATGAATGATAGGGGGCCATAGCAGGTGGCAGAGGACTATGGAACTTAGCTCCTCGCTGGGACAAAGGAATCTAATGCTTATGACAAGAAGTACACTCCAGGATTAGAACTGGCCAGGATTCAGAGATGGAAATGAGAAGTCATACAACTCAAGTGAAAGCCTCAGCCCAAGTGGCTCCCTGCTGATGAGGAGACTGACTGGCTCCTCAGAATCCCTCATTCAACTTCAGAAGTCCTCATCCTTACCAAGGGAGCCCAAGGTCTATCACCTGCAGTGAAGCAGTTGAGATGACTAGAGACCACCTGGGAGCAGTCAGGTTTTAGACTTGCCTTTCTAAAAGCTTAGTGACGTAAAGGGCTTGAAGTGCTTTCAGGACAGCAGGGTGTTCAGCCATTTGTGAAGAACTGAGGGTACAAGGGCCTGGGGGGATGGATAGGGATGGATAAAAATCCTCAAATAAAGGTAGAACGTAGGAAAAGACACTGGAGATATATAGAATCCAAGACAGAACACCGAAATCAATGTGTCCAGGGTCAGTCATTTTCTACAACTGTGAAACAGTCCCAAATTTTGAAACCAAACAAGCTGGGTTTAGATCCCACACTGTCAGTTCTTCACTACACAGAACCTCAGATAATTCACTGTATTCTCTGGAACCCATTTCTTTATCTGTAATGTGGGGTTGTCCCATCACCACCACACATACCAAATGGGCCAAGTGATAGAATCCATTTCTTGGAGATATTAAATAAGGGAATATATTAAAGTTCAACAAATGGAAACACTGAGTGTTCCCTTCCCAGGAACAAAGGAGACAGTTAAGGTAAATAGAAGCTTAAGAGGCTGAAAGAGGGAATGAAACAAGAGAAAGAGACAATGTGGAACTGGCTATGACCTAAGGTAGGCACCCTGAACTTGACCCTACCTTAGAGATCAGAAAGAAGGTGGTCCACGGAGAGCGCTCCACCTAGAGGAGGCAGGACAAAGCTTCCCCTAGGCACCAGCAGAAGGGACTGTGCTGAGGTTACAGTATGGGCAAGAAGCAGGATGAGGACAGGGAGCCACAGTTAAGGAGCACAGTCAGAAGTAGAGGTACAAGTCACAGACCTGCAAGATCTGCAGGAGAACTCCACCCATGGAATAGAAGGCTTTCTGCCCCCTAAGGCTGAGTCAGCTGCAGAGAGGCTGTGCTCAGATTCCATCCTGAGTAGCTGCTGCTCTCTGAGCTCACGGAGTTGTGAAAGTGAAGTGATTAAACGGGACCACCACTACCACATGCCATGCCCTCTGCCTCTTCCTGGCAACAATCAGTCCCCAGGAAATACAGGGGCACCAGAGGCAGGCTTAAGGTCATCCAGGGGCCACCCAAGGGCAAGAAGAGAGGACAACAGGGTAGAAGGGAAGTGAAGGAACAGGGCAGCGAGTCAGAGGCTGAAACCTGACTGAGAAGGTAGAGGGGACAAGGACAAATAGGAATACGGGGTGAAAACAAATGAGAAAGTGCTGAGCTTCAGAAGGCATCTGATGCAGGAGAGAGGGTCAGCTAAGGATGTGAGGGAGGGGTACAGAGTGTGCCTGGCCTGGCCCAGGCAATGACTTCATAGGCATCTCTTTCATTTCTTCCCAAGTTGCCAGTCCTACTGACCCCCTGCTCACATCTCAAGGGTCTAGGCCAAGCAGGAACTGACGGGAGAGAAGGGGCCCTTCTGAGCCAGGCCTCCAAGGCTGGCACAGTGCCTGCTGGGGGAGGAGGGGACTAGAGACCCAGCCCTTGTCAGCATCGTGGCTGGCACTTTGGAGGCAATTAGCAGCCCAGCTGAGCTAATCCCCCGCCTGGCTAGGCCAACACAAACAGGCCCAAGCTGGGCGCATACTCGCCTGTTTGCTGAAGGGCCCAGTGGTCCGCCAAGAACAACACCAATAACCCAGGGCCTTCTCTAGGTTAAGAGTGGGACCAGGGCTTGTTGAGGAGCTGACAGTACGTGACAGAGCACACTCTGGACAGGTGCCCTGGCTGCCCCAGAAAGGCAGCCACTATTCCCAAATCATAGGCCAGTGGGAAAAGAAAGCCAGACACAAGGAGCCATATATTCTGATTCAGCACACACTCCCACCTCTACCACGCCACCTGTGAGAGGCCTTGTCACTCTGGCCAGCCCAAATGAGGCCAGGAAAGCTAGACCCTCTGGTCAGAGCCCAAAGAAACAGGATCCATACTAGATATGGGAGCCAAGAGACAATCAGACCTGGTTTTTGCCCTCAAAGAGTTCACAATCTATCGAGGAAAGAGATTATGTGTAAGACTCAGGAGCAGAGTCAGAATTTAGACCCTGTCAAACTTGGTGAAGCTGCAGTAGAGTCTCCAAGCAGAGAAGGCAAGGAGGACCTAGATGAAGAAATAAACCAAGACCCATAGATTGACAAATGAGGTAGATGGCACCAAGGGAAGAACCTAGGACAAGTTCTACCACAAAGTGGTCCACCAAGAAGTGGAGAGCCAGGCCACTCCTCTCAGGCACCTGAACTTCTGCGAAGTCAGACCAATCCTACCTTCATTAGCCCTGAGCCAGAGGTACCTTCTTTTAGAACCAAACTCTCCACTCTTGATTTGGTCCGTCACCTACCCAGACTCCTTTCTCCTCAATCTCCAAGTCCTCACAGTTCTGCCAAAAAACAAAAGCCATAAACAGACTTTGCAGTGGAATATCAGCTCTTTGGAGCTTCCACCTGGGGAAGAAACAGCCATGGCCTCCTCATGTGGGACACCGTGCTTGCCAGCTGTGCTCAGTACCACCTCCATTTACAGAGGACCTCACTGATCACAACCCGTCATCAGCATCATTTTATGTCATGGGCACCAGCAAGCCACTGAACATAAATATTCACCACTGGGTAAGGTAAAAGGTAGATTTATCTGTACTTCAGGGGTGAGACAGAGCCCCACAGAAGGGAAGACTCCCCTAGGGCTTTAGGCTTCTAGTCAGGATGCAGTCACTACAGCCCTCCCTACTCCACAAGCTCTCCCTTCACCCACTGCCAAACTAGATCTGCCTTTGGTGCTGTCTGGCCAAAGGGCCACAGAATCCTGAGATCACCTTCTCACAAAACAGTATCATCTGCCCCAGGTTGGGCCGAGATAAACCCTGACATGGTGCTTCGACCTACACATTACTCTACAGACAGTTTTCTCTTTAGGCCCAAAAGGTGAGGAAGGCTGGAGTTGACTGCTAGGGCTGACAAAGTCATGGCAGGAAACAGCAATCCTCCACACCACCCTGCTGTGGCTGGTATGACAGAAGACTTCAGGCCAGGTCCAAGCTTAGCAGATGGGCTGTCAGGTTCCTGCTCACACCAAGAAGAGGCTGACACCACAATTCAAACTCCTCTTGGTCGCCTCACACCTGGCTCTAGAACATCTAGCCTGGATCAAGGTATAGATGACATAATAAGTCCTTTTCCCCTTCAGCTCAGCCCAACAGGGAAGTATTCTTTTAAAGGTATTTTACCAGCACACTGAAAGAAAAAAAAGGTCATAAGCACACAGAAACAAGTAGTTTCCTAAGCAGGACTTTAACCAGCACCCAACCTCAAAAGCATCTCTCCCCAACCTCCATCCCTTGGGCAGCCTCTTTCCCTCACTGGAAGAACTGGGGTTTCATTCTAACTCCACTGCTGACAGCCTTAAAATGTTTTGTTTTGTTTTGTTTTTGTTTTTTTGTCTTTCTCCTTTTTATCAGTACCAGAGATCGAACTCACGACTGCCTGCTTGCAAGGCAGGTGCTTATGCCACTGAGCTAAATCCCCAGCCCCTAGCCTTAAAATCTTAACGCATGTCAGTAAACCTCTCAATCTCACCTATAAAACAGATATGAAGATAATGTAGCACCAGGTCTGTACTACTATGCTCTACACAGCTCACCACCTCCACCCACCTCCACCATTCTGGCTGTGAGAAGACTGGGTGCAACAGTGCTGTGGAAATTCTGTGGATTGGGAAGCATGGTCAGGGAAGCTGACGGTAGTCACTGGCGAGTACCTGCCTTTCCCTTAAGTGAGGAAAAGTGTGTTTCGGGGTATAGAGAATGGCACTATAGATAGATTCCTGGTGCAGCAGGGTTAGCTGACATGAGACTTTGCTGGGTCTCCCTTCTCCTTTGAGTCCTTCTATCCCTCTTCCTCCCGGCACCTCTTGCTGCCTGGGCCTCCTCCCCCATCCCTTCTTGGACAGCAGCTGGGGCCACCTGGGAAGTTTCAGGAATAGCTGATGGTTATCATAGCCAGGACAGGGCGAGTGGCTGCCCCTCAGATTTATAATGGAGCTGGAGTGGATCCAGAGAAGTGACCAAGAGGATGTAGGACTGCTGCTATGAACTCAGACTACCTCAATCTGGAAAGAGAAAGGCTGAGAGAGGGCAGGCAGCTCAGCCACTCAAATAAGAAGGGGTATGAAGAGAGAACCTTAAACTTGCTCTTCAAAAGAACAAGCATGGAGTATTACAGGAGAACCCTGAGAGCAAAGGTACCCAAATCTGGATGGAAACCCTTTCTACTCCTCCCTGGCTGGATGACCTCAGATGAGTTAACCACTATGAGTCTCAGCCTCCCCATCTGTACTGTCTCAGAAGGCTACCATGAACACTGAGCCATAATGCAGGTAGGTATCTAAGCAATAGTCCCCTCTCCCATTGCCTGCATTTCTGACCTAAGTTTTGTACTCTCCCCTCCCACCGGTACCAGAGACTCTGGGAACACCTCAC